TCATTTCCCTATGGATAAGCAGGAAAGGGCGTGGGGACTCTTTCTTTGAACCTACTGAAGGACAGTGCTGAGGAGACTACATCTCACTCTGCTGCTGGTTGGGAGAAAGAAATCTTCTCACGGGATAGGGTGGGTGGCACTTCTTGAAAGAAGAAAGCAAGTTCAGTCCCTGATACCTGCAGAACAGAGACCAACGAAGTCGGTCCAGGCCTGGACAGGGATTCCCACTATAGAATCTAAGCCATAACCAAGTCATGACAAGTGTCTTCTCATTGTCTTCACACCAAGTTCTGGTTCTCAAAATGTCTCTGATACTGATCTCTTTCTCTTTACTCTGTCACCTTCCTAACTTAGAAATTCATCACTTCACCACTACATTAGTTTCTTGGCCTCTATCCAGTTTCTCTTCCTTCTAATCCATTCAATTTACCACTTCCCAATGAGTCCTCCAACAACTCCACATAGTCAACTTTCTCTGTTAAAACCTTCAAAGGTGCCCTGTTGGGTCCTACTGATGGTTCCTTTTTTGGCCTTCCATGGCCCCTAACTTAAAAGCTTAGCCTTCTAGTCTCTTATCAAATTCTCTATCCTTCAAGTCTCACATCTTCTATGATTCTTCTCCAGGGCTTTGTGATCACCCACATATTCAAACATTCAACAAAGATTTAGTGAGTGCTACCAAACACCAGGCACCATGCAAAAGCCTGAGGTTCTGGCATGTACCTGTAAATAACAATGCACCAAAGGTTGTAGCTATACTGAAATATGATTTTCTTTTATCAGGGCATGCTTTGTTAAATTTCTGCCTTATGGTTACAACCAACAGCGACTTCTGGGTATTTGAAAAGCTTCAAAGTAATCCAAGAAAGCACTACATAGCTATAGGTTTTATTTATTATTATATCGAGTTGATTTGAATGTAGGAATACATGTGAGTTTTCAGTTTGTTTTTAATAATTTACAAAATGGGACCTGGTGGTCACTAAAATCACTTTCAGCTCCAATAGTCTAGAATGCAGGATGCTTGCAACAGAACCACTAGATGTCACTACTAACAACACAAAAGTTAAAGCAAGGTCTTGAGATCACAGGATTACTATAAAGAACTATCAGATTTAGGAATAAAAATGTGAAAATGCTTCTATAGAGAAGCCCTATAAAAATCCAGAGAAGTAGCTGGAACACCTTTGTGCACATGAAGTGCCACAGACACAATAATTGTTAAGTACTTCCTATACTCTTCTACTAATAGAATAGCCTTCGACAACTTACTGGTCAGCAGCATAAGGAAAATCAAGTCTTAGAATAGGAAGGAAGCTTATTAGGCCATCAGTTTTCAGATTTCTATTTTCTGGCACTAGAAATACAGTCTATATCACAACCCAGTGCACATGTGCACGTGTGTGTGTGGACACACACATAGACACTGATTTCATATATATATAAAATATATGTGTGTGTGTATATATGTATATAACATATAGTTGAAAACAAAGTTTCACAAAACACTAATGCCCTTACTATGTGTAGTGCACTTTGATATTTTATTTTTTATGTATTCCATTTCATTTAAAAAAAAAAAAAGCTGGCTGGGCATAGTGGCTTACACCTGTGTAATCCCAGTACTTTGGGAGGCCAAGATAGGAGGATCTCTTGAGTCTAGGAGTTCAAGTACAGTCTGGGCAACATAGTGAAACCTCATCTCTACAAAAATAAACAAAATTAACCAGGCACAGTGGCATGTGCCTGCAGTCTTAGCTACTCAGGAGGCTGTGGTGAGAGGATCCCTTGAGCCCAGGAGGTCAGGCTGGAGTGAGTCAAGATCAAGCCATTGTACTCCAGCCTGGGCAACAGAGTAAGACCTTATCTCAAAAAAAAAAAAAAAAAAACCTTGTTACAAAACAATAAATTGATTTTACTCAATCAAATATACTTCCTTATGTTAATATGTCAGAAAACAGAGGCCCAGAGAGGTGCAGTGACTTGCCCCAGGTAACTCAGTAGCCAGGATTCAAGGCTTTTCAGGACACTGGCAGGTTTTGTTTTGGAAGACCCTAGGTAAAAACTGAAAAGTGTCTTTGGCACAATCTCAGCTCCTGCTGTGCTCCTCAACCTTCTAAATCTTGTGGCTAAGATACTGTGGTAAAAACCAAACCAAACCAAACCAAACCTGACAAAGTGTATGGATGATTAGTTATATGCAGCAGCCATTTTAAAAATACAGGTTCTTTCTTAAATGCAAATGTGATCACTTTAACTTTTCTATTTGAATCCCAGCAGTGACTGTGGTTTTCAGGCCAAATACAAATTCTCAGTGTGACAGTAAAGGCCCTTCCAGAGCTGGCCCCAGTCCTGCTAGCCAGCTTGATTCTTCACCACTTCCCCACAAGCACCTTCAAGATTCTTCCTTCACTCTTGACCTGGCTAAGTCATAAGGTTTTCAAGATTCCACTCACATTCCTCTTCTGCAAAGCCTTCTTTGGCATGTGCTTGCCCACAGCATGCAGCCTACTGTTCCTGAAGCGTCCTCTTGTGTGTCCTCTTCACTGAACTGTGACATTGTTATGTCTCCCCATTTGCTATCTGTGGCACCTGGCCTAGGATTCAGTATGTAAGAGGAAATCTGCTGAAGTGAGTATTTTCATATTCTCACTCTCAAATTTCAATCCTAAAAAAACCTCACTGGAATATCTCTGGATTATGTAAGAGCTGGTTTTGACATTGCAGAGTTCTATTTTCTAATATTTTGGGAGTATGAATAAAAACCACTATACCTATCATAGGAGAAGTACATGCAAAAACCCAGTTCTAGCCTTTTTTCTCTTGATTTTAATAAGCGTTTATTGGGGGAAAGGTGAATTTTGTGTTTTTTTTTTAACCTCTAGCTTGTAAGCTAGGACCTGCTGAGCAACACAGACTCTGCTCCTTCCACTGCTCCCTCCACTGGTTCCTCAAAGAGTTTTCCCACCTCTCAAATTCCCAACCCAAGAGCCTTTCTACTTACGTGGCACACACAGACATTCTTCTGTGTATGCTGCAACAGAGTAAATCAAGAACAGTGGCCAACACCTGAAATGACTTAATTCATACTTATCCAGTTGGGGAGAAATCAGAGTGGAAGAGAGGCAGCTAAAAGCTCATAGTGACAAAGGACAGTGAGTAATGAAGGGAGCATTGATTCAGGGCTGTGGTGGTCAGAGGTGGCTTTGTGAGAGTAAATCACCAACACCGGGGTGGGAATTGGGTAGATCTGTGGGGAAGGAAGCACTTCCAGGTGGGTACCAGCATAAGCAACAATCGGCTAAGGGTGTGAAGCAGAAGACTCCCCAGATCAGAGAGCGCTTGGCACTGGGGAGGGCTCAGGCATGCAATGAGGTGGGGAGGAGTAGGGATGCTGGTGTCCCTGAAGGAGCAGGTCATTATCCACTGTCACCCCTCACTCCATGTCTCACTGCCTTGGTTATAAAGCACATTCAGTTTTATGCAGCATTTTGATCTTCTCTATGCCCTTGTCAGGTAAGCAGCATAGATACTGTGGGCTTTATTTTTCAGAAATAGTTTAAGAAGGAGATAAGAAAATTGGCCCAAGTCACACAGCTAGCAGCTAACCAGCCTCACAGTTTAGATCTCTGGACTTCTATTTCACAGACCTAAAAATTCACGGTTGTCGCAAAAGACACATGGCTGAATTTCCCCATTTTACAAATAAAGAAACTGAGGACCACAGAGGTGAAGAAATTTTTCCAAGGTCACACAGAAGCAGAATTTAGGAGGTTAGCTGGAAGCGGCTTTACCCAGCCTGATTTCTGATAGAAGATGTTGTACATTATATGAGGAAGCAGGGAGAAAAATTCTTCATATTGCCAAGAAAGAACAGTTACTTCAACAAAACCAAATATCGTCCAATGTTTAATAACTGTCAGGATAACATTCCATTCGCATAACTGCATTTATAAAAATGCAAATTGTTATCAACCAAAAATTAGAAGTTTTTTAAGTGAAAACAATTCTAGAAAGAAATCAAGCTGCTCGAGGAGAGGGATCTATCTGGGAAGAAAGGCCTCCCCAATCTACAGGAGCTCCTCAGAACTTTTTTCTGCCACTGATGAATTTTTAGGTCCTTGTTGATCAGAGAAAAAGTTTTATTTTTAACTTTTTTAAAAAAACTAAACGTTGGCTCCAAACTGATAGACTCTCATCTCAGAATCTGTTAGCAAAGGATAACTAATATTTGCAGACAAGAACACCATTCAAATGACACATTATTATAATTTATTTTACACTAGAAATGACATGGCTTGAGAAATGACTTGCCGAGAAATCTGTGTTTACATTAGGGAGAGTGGGGGGAAAATCCCTCACAGAAGTTGAAAACATGTTAAGCGGTAAATACCAAAATGCCCAGCAAGCATTTAAGCTGGCTCTCATCCTAGCATGAATATGTGCAGCTCAGCATTTTAAAATTTACTTTTAGCTTTTCTAGCAGTTTGAATTAACCCTTTCTCTACTTCCACTTTCTCTGTGAGAGTTCAGCTCTTAATCTGCAGATGTGGACTGAGGGTACTGTCAATGGTGCTCAGTGATCCACTGGTGAATGATGTCCTCACCTGGACTGGTTTCCTACAAGACGGCTGCCTTGTGAACATGTCTCCTAAGCTTCCTTCCTATCCAGGTAAGGCCTAGACAAACATTAGGAAGCAAGTTCAGCTTGTATGGATTGGAAAAGGCCTGTCAGTAGAGCAAAACAATACAAATCAATGTCACAATAAAGGTATATCCAGACCAGAGGTTCTCCAGAGCAGAATCACCCCCAGAGAGACTGTGTCAGGTGGCCCCAGCATCTGTAGCTGTAAACGATCCTCAGGTGATTTTAAGCATATCTCTCATTCAAAGACACTAATCTAGACTCTCTAAAAACCCAACAACATTTTAATCTTAGTTTCAGCTCCTAGTAAATGAAAACAAAAAACAAAACAAGCAACCAAAAAAAAAAAAAAATGGTTCCAGGTTAGGTTTATCTTAATACTTAACTGGCTATGAAACTTATTTACAGCCTGAGTGAATACCAATTATATACAAGAAAGGTGAACATTTAATGAATATTTGTATAATACTTTACAATATCTTATCATGCATTAATGATCTCATGTGGTTCTCACAGCAACCCTATGAGGTAGCTTGTTATTTTCAAATTAAAGATGAGGAAAATAAGTCTCAGGGACACGAAGACTCGCTTAAGAGCCCTCAAAGAGTACAGCAGAGCAGCTGTGGGGTTGAGAAGTAGAGGGGTAAAATGACCATTGTTTTATTACTGTAGGTCAAAAAGAAATCTTAATGTTTAAATATTTCCTATAGCTTTTTAGAAAACTTCTAATTACTATGCCACATTTCGCTGGTAAAACATATTGTCTCACAGTAAAATATTGTTTTTTTTTCTCTATTTTACGTCTATCTGTCTACACAAACACCCACACATACATACATACACACACACTCTCTCTCTCTTTCTCTCTCTCCCCTATCTTTGGAGTAAAACAGAAATAATCTATTGTTCCTGAGTTTGATTCTGGGAGAATCACTTAAGATAGGTCATGTTTATAACACCAGTTTCAGGGACAGGTAAATCCAGTAATTTAATTTTTGTATATCTTACATTAAAATGAATACACAAATACATTTCTCCCTCAATCTCCATATCAGACAAATGGAAGTGAAGTACTTGGCCTAGAAAAGAATAACCTGCAAGTGCCCTAATAATGTTGTTATTCCTAGTATTAGTAAGTTAAGATTCGTTTTTTGCTATTTATAGTGATGTGTCTTTTTTTTTTTTTTTTTTTTTTTTCTGAGACAGTGTCTAGCTCTGTCACCCAGGCTGGAGTGCAGTGGCACAATCTCAACTCACTGCAACCTCTGCCTCCTGGGCTCAAGCCAACCTCCCACCTCAGCCTCTTGAGTAGCTGGGACTACAGGCACACACCACCACAAACAGGCAAATTTTTGTATTTTTTTGTACAGACATGGTTTCACCATGTTGCCCAGGCTGGTCTCGTACTCCCAGGCTCAAGTGATGCTCCCACCTCGGCCTCCCAAAGTGCTTGGATTGCAGGTGTGAGCCACCATGCCTGGCCATGATGTACGCCTTTGAAGTGTTTCTTCTAAACATTCGGTCTATCAAATATCAGTTGCTGTAGACATTTGTGTCCAAGGGAAAAATAATCCATGTCAAATCTTGGTGAGATGAAATATTCCATGGTATTGGTCCTATTAAAGCCAGGGCTGGTAAGTAAACTCTTGACATTCTTCATACCACAATTTCTAAGCTCGATAGAAGAATCTGAAGAACACAAAACAAAAGCCAAGAGAACAAAAGAAGATTAACTGAGCAGTAAAGACTTATTTAAGAATATCAGTACTAAAATAAAACTATCCATTCCTGTCATTGAGTGCATGCTACTTACAGCAAAGTAAAATATTTCCTGAATTGGTGGCCCCCAACCTTTTTGGCACCAGGAACCAGTTTCAGGGAAAACCATTTTCCTACAGACCAAATGGGAGATGGTTTCAGGATGAAACTGGTTCACCTCAGATCATCAGGCATTGGTTAGACTCTCATAAGGAGCACGCAACCTAGATCCCTCGCATGCGCAGTTCACAATAGGGTTCACATTCCTATGAGGATCCAGTGCTGCAGCTGATCTGATAGGAGGCAGAGCTCAGGTGGTAATGCTCGCTTCCTCGCCCGCTCAGCTGCCTCTCACCTCCTGCTGTGAGGCCTGGTTCCGGTTCATGGCCTGGGATTTGGGGATCCCTGTCCTAAATAACTTGGTAGGGGACTGATTGGAAAAATAAAAATTAAGTCAGGATTTGCCCACTAAAGATGAAAGCAAATTTTACATTTGGTGGGATGAGTCTAAATGCAATGGAGACACTGATCTTTGTAACAGCAAAACATTAAATGCAGGCTTTTCTTTTACCTTGTTAATCGACATTTCATTCAGCCTAAGAGGTTGCTTTGGCATAACTCAGAGGTAGATTCAGTCCAACAACTGGCCCTACAATGCTCAGCCATGATGTGATGTAGTTGACATTCCTAGGAAACAAGTGAAAAACAGGCCATGCTAACGTTTCCATTGTAGTTTTTGGATGAATGGTAGAATATCAGTTGGTCACCAACAATAACAGAAATGAGGTTTTCTTCAAAGATTTGTACCTACCACCTGGAATCTCAGCATTTCTGAATGCCAGCCCCATTGCTTGACAAGAATTTAAGGTCCAGAGAGCCTGTGAGGATCCTTTATTAGGGTAGTTGAAGAATGAGGTAAGATACTGGGGTTCCTAACTCCCCTTGATGATTCAAATTTTACCCTTGTGGTTTACAGCACTTACTAAGGTAGCAGAGTGCAGTGATTAAGAGCATGGTTCTGAGGCCAAAATGCTTAGATTCAAATCCTACCACGTAACTAGCTGTGTGACCTTGTTTGAGTGGCTTAATTCTTCTGTTCTTTAGCTTCCTCCTCTGTAAATTGGGTAAAATAATGGTACTTAGCACATAGGAATGTTGCAAAAATCCAATGTCTTACTGTATCTAAAACTCTTAGAACAGCATCTAGCATATAGTAAAAATCAATGTGTTAGCCATTATTATTATTATAAATAATATTTCTTTTTTAGCCTAGCTTTTAGAGTCACATAGAAAGATTTACACTTTTAAAATCAGAGTAGAAACCAATGTATCTTGATGGTGTTTCTTACTTATTGATTTTCCGAGAATTCTTTAATACTGGAGCCATGAATTCATTCGTTTTGCAGGGATGAAGTACAAAAAAGGGTTGCCCAAGAATTGGATGTTCCTGTAAGAATCAGAATTGGCCCAGGATCAGTGTGAGTTACTTTGAAAAGGCTAAAATAATTTATCTGGTTTACTCCTTTAAAATAAAGATTTGTCTCAGATTCCAAGTCATTGAATTAATATACAGGTTTATTTTCTATTTTCAAATGTAATTTATAATCCAAACATCAGAAAAAGTTGGTGAGAAAGGGCTACTCATTGATAAAGCAGTATGGTCGAGTATAGCAGGGCGCCCATTTTTGTTTACACAATATAAACTGTAGTTGCATTTTATCAGTTCCCTCTCTGTTGGCCAGTGTTTCTTTTTGGCCTATCATTGTTCTTCAGTTTTTCTTCAAGGATGTTCACAAAGCTCAGTAGTTTGACAACCTAAATAATTCATTTTATTCACCTTTTTGTCAATGGTAAGAGAATCAAAATCATTTGCATATTTCTTTACACAAATTTTGTCAACATGTTGTTTCAAGCCTATATGTATCCAGTGCCAGTGAGCACATGTTCCATGAGTAGAACTAGGGATGGGAGGAGATGGCCTGCACTATTTAAATTGTTCTACTTCTGTCTGTCTCTCTCTCTGTCTTTCTGTCTCTTGAGTTTTTGTTTTTCTTTTTCCTCATTTCTCTCCTTCTGTCTCTCCCAAGGCTACAGGGCTGTTTTTATAAGTTAAAAGCCTAAAATGTAACTCTGTTCCTTTTATAAGGTAATAACTGGATATAAGATATAGGTCAGACCGCACCCAAGTTAGGGATGTGGACATCATTTGGCAAGCAATGGGGAGCCCTAGGAGGTTTCTATGTAGTGCACAATTTCTACCAACACAAACACTATTATTGATGATACATTTATTGATTATTTATATTGTGGATTAACCATTATATCAATACTGCAAACTCAAATACCTATGAAGACGAAGCAGGTGACCTAAGGGGATAATGCCAGCTAAATACACCAGCAGATGACGGGGCTCAGGAGGAACTGCAGAGTGCACCCATCCAAGGCCATGCTGGCTACTCTGCTCCGGCCAACTGTCCCACGTGGGAATGCAGGTTCAGCATGCCAGACCTTCCTATTTGTGAAACGAACCTAGAAAACCTGAAGTTTATGTTAAACCTCCTACATTAAAGTGTTGGCACAAGATATTTTTAAACATGAGTGGGACCAGTAAAACAGGCTTGTAGGCTGGATTTAGACTAGGGGATGCCTAGCTTCTTCTCTTGGTTTCTTCTCTTAGCCAACCCAAGGGCAAGCTGAACTCAGAGCTGTTGATGGGATGAATTATGTGGCTGTCCCTGCTGCCTCTACCCCTCAGCTCCAAACATTCATGTCTGCATGCTTATGCACACATCCACTCACAAGAACTGGGAGGGACAATTCCATTTGTATTGGTGACACTGGGTATGGAGATGTGGGGTGGCAGTGGTGAGGGATGAGTTATCCACTAGTTGTAGGTTATTGCATGTATCTCGCATTTTTAGCATCTCCTGGCATTTTTTTCTCCCTGAGTGCCACCTCCAGGTGACTCTGACCAGTAGCCTGATTCTTCCAGCAAGGCATCAGTTTCCTCTCTACAGCTCTCTTCCCAACCTTCATTCCCATCCCTAACTGGGCCCTGGGCTCAAAGCCCTGATGGGTTGTGCCTATATCAAGTCCTCCTGTCCAACTTGAGTCTCGTTTCCCTTACCTGCCTTAAACTAATGTTAAGTAATTCAACATATATTAATCAATCATCTTTTTTATGTGTCTGCCAGAATATTTCTAGGTATAGTTATAGAGACCACTGTATCTCTTAGATAAACAATGTTCCTGATCCCATGGAACTTAGATTCCAGTGCAGAAGACAGCCAGTAAACATGCAGAATGAATAAATAAGATAATCCAGATAATTATAAGCCCTATGAAGGAAACACAACAGGGTAACATGATTCTGGAGGGATTTTGGTGACATTAGACTTGTAAAGGGAAGGCCTCATGGAAGAGGTAATACAATGGACTGAATGTGTGTGTCCCTCTAAAAGTCATATGTTGAAATCCTAACCACCAAGGTGATGGTATTAGGAGGTGGAGCCCTTTGCAGGTGATTAGGTCATGAGGGTGAACCCCTCATGAATGGGATTAGTGCCCTTATAAAAAAGACCCAGAGAGCTCTCTCACTCTTTTCCTATCATGTGGGGATACAGTGAGAAGATGGCATCTATGAAATGGAAAATGGGTCCTCACCAGACACTGGATCTTCCAGTGCCCTCATCCTGGATCTTGTAGCCTTCAGAACTGGGAGAAATAAGTGTTGGTTGTTGAGTCACCCAGTCTATGGTATTTTTGTTATGACAGCCTAAATGGACTAAAACAAGGTGATACTTAATCAGAGATCAGAATGACAAGGAAAAAACAACCACGCAGAGATTAGGAACAGAATGTGGGGGCAGATGACCCTATGGCGAAATGAGCATAGGAAATATGCAGGAAAAATGCAAAAAAATTTAAAATTGTCCTGGACTAAAATAATGACTGTTTAGAAAGCTGGAATTTAAAAAGATAAATGTAGTCTAAATTCTTTTGGGATGACTTACACAGTTGCCAATGGAAGGAATAAAGAGGTATAATGCAATCTTATTGATGTAAAGACATGTTAACTTTAATGAAATGAAACCTAGGCTTCTAAATTTCCACTGGACAGCAACACTCATAATAGGGAGAATCAGTTCAATCATGCAGCCTCCACTCTCTCCAAGACTCACTCTCCCTTTGGCATCTCTTATCTAAGAGGTGGATAGGCACTTACAGTTCAGAGGACATTTTCTTAGAGGAGTCTTAGGACCATGGCACACTGCAGCTCTGCTCATTTGATGCTTCTTTGTAAAGACTTGGACTTTACTTCTATAAGTCATCTTTTCCTCATTCCACATAGCAAGTGGGTAAGCACATGCATGGGCTCTGTGGTTACGACTGTTTGAGGTCAAGTCCTGCTCTACCACTTGGTAGCTGTGAGCTATCGGGAAAGTCACTTAACCATTTTATGTCTCTGTTTCTTCATCTGGTAACTGGCTAATGATAGATAGTATCTGTCTCAGAGATTGACTGTGACCCTTCAATGAGATAATACTACAGAAGTACATAGAACAGTACCTGACACATAGCAGTCACTTGGTTGGCTATTAGTATTTAACCCATTAATATCTAAACAGAAAAGGATAACAGCCATTCAGAAAGTAGTCTTATGGTACCCTATAATAAAGCCCAATTTCAATCTAAAAATAGGATATTCCTGTAAATTACGTAGCATATTAAAAGCATCACTGACCAGTATCTAAGTGTTTAGGAATATTTAACAACTGTTTATAAGTGAAAGGAAGAAAGGTCTGAATTAGTGAAAGGTCTAGGTCTATATGGCAACTAGAACTATCACTATATTTGTATTCAGGTTTAAAACCAAATTAATGAAAAATAATTTAAATGAATTTAAATTAAAATAAAAAGCTTAGGTACTTCAAAAACACTTCAGTAATCTACAACATTTTAATATTCATTTTTCCTCAAAGAACATAAAACAGTCATATTAGCATTTAAGGTTATATTCTAATAGAATAAAATGCATGGCAATGCTCATTTAAAACACTTTTTAAAATAATTGAGACTTTTATGCCTTTGAAGAGCTTTTAGAATAGCTTGAACATTTCTTTAATGCAGGTTTGGCCATCTTTAAAAAATTCTTTATCCTTTACTATACTGAGACCTTATATTTATATAATTAAATAGAATATATTAAAATGAATGATGGTCTTTAAAAATCACGTTTAAATTTATTAATAAATTGGATTTTAAAATAAAAATTATATTGTTTTGGCAAAATGCTTTTGGTTTAAAAGAATCAAGCCTATACTATGCTGATCACCTTAATATAGGAGTTATGAGATATATTTATGTAATCTTTTAGAATAATTTTATAAATTAATAACAATAGAAGTGGACTGCCAGCTGTGATAGAATAAAGAGGTCAGCAAATCCTCTTCCCAGAAAATAAGTATAAAAATGAACAAAATTGTCAAAAACAAACCATTTTTGGGTCCTGGAAATCAACCAAGGGCAAATATAAAATCTGAGAAGTGTTTAGTTCATGATAATCTGCTAAACTTCAAGTTAGAAACAGAGGGAATCTGAAGCATTCTTGCCTGGAAGTACTTCCATACCCCCTCCTCCTTTCCCCAATGTCCCCAGCCACTCCATCAACAGAAGTTTTACCAGAGCAGTCTGGCCATAAGAGCCAATAACTGTGTAGCCAGAGGGGCTGGCCTGATTTCCAAAAGACAGCTAAAACTATTGCTCAGCGGCACTGTCAATAAAAAATAGCAGAATAGGTACTAAATGAAAAGAAAAGGTTGCAGTCCCAGTTGAGGCAAGCAGCAAACTACCAGTATTTTAATGGGGACATTCTGGAAGTAAGACAGCCACGGAAGGGGTAGATAAATTCTCCAGGCATCACTGGCTGATGGGAAGGGAATGTTCAGTGGAGACACGAGAAGGCCTGATGGGATGTAAGAGCTAAGGCCAACATGAATACTACTTGAATTTTCAGTGTGTTCCCAATCCATGTACACATTCATTGGCAAAAGAAAAAGGCATTATAGGCTTGAGGTATTTGAGCACAATTTCTGTCTAATCATTGGCCAACCTGCAAGCTTTACAGACATAGCTGGATAACCCTGAGGAAGGCAGTCTAAAAAATAAAAATAAGAATTAAAAAACCAATAGCAAAGACATCAGTGGCCACACTTACAGGGAAAAAAAAATCTGCAGATAAAGCCTAGGAAAGTTATTAACCAAACAAAAACAACAGCAACAACAAGAAAAAGACAACCCTCAGGAAAAAATATTGGAATCCAGAATTGCTGCAATATATTATCTAAAATGTCTAGTTTTCAAAGGAATTTATGTGACATAAAAGAAACCAAAAAGTGTGGTTCATACCAGGGGGAAAAATCATTATTAAAAACTGACACTGAGTAG